AAATTTTACCCAAACCCGCATCTTCTTCTGCCTGTCGTTTTGGTAACATGTTTCCTTTCCTTTTGGCAAGGGGAACATGACCATCCTACTCTACAGTGAAACAGCAGCGAGGAGCAGCAGGCCTGGCTTTGGCCATGCATGAAAGGAATGAAAAGATTTCAGGCTTACCACATCTACGCTTGTGGGTTTTTTAAAAGGCTAGAACCCCAATCAGAAACAAAAGATTATTGAACTTGTGGAGATACTAGGCCTCCAGGAGGCCCACATTGTTGCAACACACATGACAAGAGACTTTCTGAAAGTCAGAGAGGTGAGTGTACCTCTACCTAACAATAGCTATTACAGAACAGCTATAGGAAAGCTTTTGTTCTTAACAGCCATCACGAGAACTGACGTAGGTGCTGTAGGGTTACTGAGCAGAAAAGTTAGTTCACCATCATAGGGTGACTGGAAATCTGTTAAAAAGAATGCTTAAAAACTTCAAAGGGATTGTGTACTTTAAGCTAAGACTGCCAGTCAACAGAAACCTAAAGCTTGTAGGGTACACAGAGGCAGAAAGGGCACGGACAGTCCAGACTATAAGGCCATCAGTGGTTCTTATTTGTATGAGATGGGCCTATCTCATGGGCTTATCATAAACAAGATGTAGTTTTAGAATTAGGATTAATTTTTGCAGCAGAAGAAGGCAGCAAAGATGCTAAGGGACTTTGGAATCCACGAAGAGATGCCAGTCCAGGAAATGGAAGACAATCAGAGCTGCATCAAGCTCTAAAATGAATTACAACAATTCCTCAAAAAAAAAAAAAAAAAAAAAAACCTTTCATGGTCTATACTCAAATTTAGGGCAGAGACAAATGGGAAATTTGTACATCTTGGTTCCAGATACTGGAAGTAACACAGTTTTCAAAGATCCTTTGATGATGGAAGAGGGTGGTTATTTTCTTACCACCTATGAATCTGTAACTGAAATGATTCCATTGAACTAGAAGGGCATAGCTTCAAATACATTATATTCTCTTGCAATGAAAACATGCACTGAAATAGGTCTGTGAAAATGATTTATGAATTCAGACACAGATTGCGAGTTTGTATGGAGTTGCAAGCAATTTAGCTGTTTTGACTAATACCAAACAACACAGCGTGAAACTCATTCACAATTTTTATATAATTCCCTCAATGTTCTGCTCAGTATAACCTTCTTGCTGGAATCTGTGGACAATTAAGTTCCTATTTTCACCTTTGAATGTTCCAGCTGGCTGGAAAAGCTCAGTGATTTATGTTGCAGAGCTGGATGTTAGGAGTCCAGTTCCCCACTGTGTCTCCCAAGAGAAGGGTCATCCTGTGTGGCCTTGGGCCAGCTATACAATCCCAGGATGCCCTCCCCCCTCCACCGGGAAGGAGGGAAGGGTAAGCCACTTCTGTGTACTCTCTATCTAGAAAAAAGGGCCACCATAATTCAGAACTGACTTGAAGGCTTAGAATTATTATTAGTCCTGTTCCATTCTTCACTTATTTTCAGTTCTTAAAGGAAGTGAGAAATGACTCATTAAATAATAGCGTTCTCAGCAGCTTTGGTCTTCTCTTTTTCTTGCTGGAAGTTAATACAAATTGAAATAATAAAAGTTTAATAAAATTTTTATATCTGGCTGTTAGAATACAAATTGCGGCCAACTGGAAGTCTGGCAAACGGCACTTATAGAAAAATTAGCATCTCAAGTGCCCTCTTTTAAATGTTCACTCTTCCAAAAGTACTTTCTGGGTGTTTCCCTCTCCTTCATATGGAAATATGGGACTGCGCCATTCCCTTGCCAATGACACAAAAATCTGTGGATTGTCTTCATAATATAAACACAGCCAAAAAAGATCCTTGTAGCCAAGGCTTTAGTTCATTTTCATATTATTTCATTTTGAGGCTCCTGTTTAAGTGTTTGTTGTTAAGCTAAATACTGGATTGTATATATGTGTGTATACTTTGGAATCACAGCCACAGCTGTTGTTTACCTATCCATATACTGGAAAAAAGAAAGATTATCTATATTGAGACGTTGCCATGTAATTGTATAGCAGTCCATTATAGTGCAATCATTTTCTAACTCCACCAGTATGAACAACTCTTTGCTTGCTCCCCACAGTGAACAGATTTATGACTTAATGCTGGTCAGAAGACTGAAATTCAGAAATCTCCTCTCACAACAGGAGGAAACTATACTTCTATTTCTAATGTACTTTAGCAGCTGATCTGCTATGAGCACAGTGTCTATTTTCTCCCTTTGATATAAATAAGTTTAATTTAAAAACTGCTCACAAGACTTGATGCGATTTATAATGCCATATATTAGGATCTCTGGTATTTTAGCATTACCTTTATTTTGAAAATAACCTAGTAAACTGATATTTTTAAGAAGATGCTCTTAAAAAGTTTGCTACTGTATTGCTCTATGTTGTTCGAATTGTTTTTAAGGCAACTGAAGGTGTATGGAAGTCAGTAGAAGTAGTATAAGTCAGCCCAAGTCTGGAAAAGGAAAGGATGGAACTTTGAAAAAGAAAAAAAGTATTTAAAGAGGTGAAACTGCTGCTGGTTTAATATTACAAAGCATGAGAATAACTGTGGAAATGAATTCTGGCTACAAACCAGAGAGTGTGGCTTCTCAACAAATTATAATTAAAGGCCACTTTAATTGAAGTTCATCCTATCAGTCCTGTCCAGACATCTCATCCTGTCCCCACTCACCCCCATTGTTTACCTGGACCCTAATATGCTTTGCAGAAATATTTATTTCTTCCCAAAAGTTGTAAAACATTAGATCTGTGTTTTTATCTTAGCACTACATTTTGTAGCTTTCCAAGATGCAAAGCAGTTTATTTTAGGTTGTTGTGGATTTTTCGGGCTCTTTGGCCGTGTTCCGAAGGTTGTTCTTCCTAACGTTTCGCCAGTCTCTGTGGCCGGCATCTTCCGAGGACAGCATTCATGTGCTGTCCTCGGAAGATGCCAGCCACAGAGACTGGCGAAACGTTAGGAAGAACAACCTTCAGAACACGGCCAAAGAGCCCGAAAAACCCACAACAACCAGTAGATCCCAGCAGTGAAAGCCTTCGCAAATAGCTTATTTTAGCTTTGTGACTGTCATCATGAGCTAAACAGCAGGCATATTTACAAGTTTTTTGTGCAGGTGCTAGCTTTGAACGAATGTGTTTCTGGAAGGAAAATGTTTTATCACTTCCTAATTGCAAAGCAGGGATGTGGTGGTGCTGCGGGTTAAACCACCGAAGACTCTGTGCTGCAAGGTCAGAAGACCTGCAGTCGTAAGATCGAATCTACGCAACAAAGTGAGCCCCCATCACTTGTCCCAGCTCCCGCCAACCTAGCTGTTTAAAAGCATGCAAAATGTGAGTAGATAAATAGGTACCACCACGTTGGGAAGGTAACGGCGTTCCGTGTATAGTCGCGCTAGCTCTATGGGTTGGAAACAGAGATGAGCACCGACCCCTAGAGTTGGACACGAGTGGACAAATTGTAAAGGGCAACCTTTACCTAACTGCAAAGCGATTGTTTCCTCTAGTTTGCCCAGAAAGGCTAGATTGCAGGAAATCTGCACTCTCTGTGTGCGCGTGTATTCACATGCATATGCACGTGAGCATTTCTATTGCAGGTGAAATTTTATTCGGTTGTTTCTGGCTTATCTTTGAAAGTGGTCTGTTTAGTCACTGTTCTTTGCTGTTTTGATTGGTAAAACACAGCTGACAGGAAAGAGGAAGGAAATCTATATAGAATTGTGGTTTCTATTCAGATCATTTACATATCATAATGAGTCCCCTCTTTTTTTGATAGATAAGTATTAATTTAAAATATAGATTTAGATGTACAGAAGTAAGAAAATGTCACACCTGTAAACTTATATGGATAAGAAATATAATCAGAAGGGATAAGACATTGACTGTATTTGCACAAGGTATAACACAATGTAAAAAAGAGGCAAGAACAATGAAAGGTACAAACATGTAAATGCATAAAGCCCTCTTATGGAGGGAAAAATATAATCTGGAAAAAAATATATGCCCAATATGAAAAATAAAATAAAACAAATCAAAATAATCAGTTCTATAAACAGAAGCCTGGCCTGCAAGCAGAAATCCTTTGATGTGGAGACACCCTTAAGAGAAGGAGCTTCTGGCACAAGAGGAGGATCCTAAAGGAGAGTTGGCATCCTGACCAACATCCATTTCTTAAAGCTTTTATAGATGCTCCTGTGAGGTTTTTCCATGATAGCATGTTTCAGAATTAGAGCAGAGAGAGAAAGGCTGGTAGGGCATGTCACACACAAGCAGGTTTTGGCTAGCTCTGTCTGTACCCCTCATTTATATAAAACAACAGCAATGGCCCACGAATGCAATGGTAAACAAGTAAAAAGAACTAGACTGTTAATAATAAAAGCTGTTTCGGGGCAGGGGGCGGAGGAGCAAATCTGTGCATATGTTCTGAAATATTCCAGAAATATTCCCCAAATTCCCAATTCAGCATAAATAATGCCAATGTTAGATTTATCTGCACATATTAACTTTGGAATATTTATCTGGAGTGCAAAATTTTAGATTTATCATCAGGGATGGGACATGATATGCCAAGAAAAGCAACTGTGTAGGGACTGAAAGGTAAAGTGTGAGATTTCAGTGGAATGTTATAGGCTGGGGCTGAGTTCAGACACCAATCAGAATTTCATCAGATTCTCTTTCAAGGTCATCAGGTTTCTGTCTGATGTTATAAGGGCAAGAGGTGTATTTCTTTGGTAAAGTATAATAGTGATATATTTTGTTCTGGAGGATAAAATTCCATGCTTTGCAATGGAATAAAAATGATGAATAATGATTCCCTTAACAGTGACTGCCAACATTTACAATGGAAGAAGAATTGTCTGTATTAGCTCCATGCTATGCAAACAACCTGTTTGCTTGGGCTGTCTCAGATTTCTGCATAAAAGAGAATGGCTGAAATCCAGTAATAAGTTGCAACGAGAGTAAGCCCATTGAATCAGCAGTGATATGGTGAGTAAACTCCTCCACAAGTTCTATTGAGTCCATTGTATTGTAGCTGTGACTCACTACCAGATTTTAGCCAATGTGTTAGCAAAACCCTAACTGTCAGATCCCTTGAAAAGCACCGAGTTTATATAGACCACTATTTAATATTTTTCAGGGTGAAAAAAGCATTTTAGTCTGGGCACATAAATATGTTTTATATTTGGGATTCTCCTTCCCCGTTTTCCGCTTTAGAATTTACATACTCTTTTTTTACTTCTCAGTACAGAGTAAAGGAATCCAGTTCCTTGCAGGCCATGAAGTCAGTACAGATGTGAGAACACAGTGATAATGGCAACACCAATACCTCTGAAGGCGTATTTTGTTTGCCCAGGGTCTGCTGCAGGCTGCATCGCCACCTTACTAAAATCCAGCAGCAACAGGGGGGAAAAAATTAAAACAAGCATTTTGCTCATTTTAATGGCACTGTAGAGGTTTGCAGCTAGCATGGGACAGCAAATCAAGGCCAGTTTGTAAGATGGCTTTCCCCATTTCCTGCTGAATTTTTTGGCAAACTGTTAAAAGCCATTGGATGCAAGTAAAATGCTTGCTTTAAAGGCCCCCTAAAGAGTGGCAGCCCAAGTGTGGTTTTGGGGGATGCTCTGGGGGCTCTTAGAGAGATTGGCCATACGGCCAACGGACTACAACCAAAGGGGTAAAAGCCTTGCTTCTGTCTTGGCTTCTAACATAACTGAAGCATGGAAGACTGTACAGTTCAAGAATTAGAGATAGGTAATACTCGATACAGAGCTGCTGGAAATGCCTGTGTCAGGACTATCTACGTCTAGCAATACGGCTGCTCTTCTGTTGCTCAAATTCATGCCTCTAGTTCTCCCCCTCCCTTCTGCTAGCAGAATTACTTTAAAACAAGAGGAGAAACAAACAAAGCTGCATATCAGGAAGAAACCCAGCTAAGACACATCTATTTTTATCTGACCTGAAATAAAGCTTATTATGGCAAACTATTTGAATGGAGGCTAAACAGTGTGTGAAGGCTGCAGCTCTCAGCACAATCCCATCTGGTGGCAGAACAGTTTTGTTTCACCTAGAGAGCTGCGTTCAAGACCTAATTAAAAAAAATAAACGAGCATCAGATCAAGGATTTGTGATCATCTCAAGTGCAAGAGTCATGTCCCTTTTCGAAAGCTTGGCTCCTCTCTTCACATCCAAGGAGTTCTCCATCTGTTTCTTTGCCCCTCCATGCTGCGCCTTCTTCTAGGAGGAATGGGGAAAGGCTCCATGGAACAGATGCTATGCCATGCCAAGGGAGAAGGGTGTATCTCTTGGCATGGCGTCTCCACCATCTGTTCGCCCCTCAGTATTGGTCTGAAAAGAACGAAGCGTGAAGGAGGGACGGGCTCGGGCCCTCAGTGGGTGGAGTGCAGCTGCCTTCCTCTGACTGTTCTGACAGTTCCCCATATTCACTGTTGTAAAAAGTCTGGCCACGGAGCTGGGAATGATAGGATGGCCGACATCGGCCCCTCAGATCCGACTGATCCACTGCCGAGTCTTCATTTCGACTGGATCCTTTACTGCTGTTGGAGCAAGAGGGAAATGGGAAATCAGTTCTGACCAAGAAAGCAACTTCTAGAAATAGCTTCTAAGCCGCATAAAAAGCAACAAAAGTGCAAGCCATTTAGAACACTGGTAACCTTGGGTTACTCAGGTGTTTTTGGACTGCAACTCCCAGAAGCCTTCACCACCAGTTGTGCTGGCTGGGATTTCTGGGAGTTGTAGTTCAAAAACACCTGAGTAACCCAAGGTTAAGAACCACTGATTTAGAAGATTGCCAGGCCTGTTATGGTTTGGGGGTGGGAAGCCTTAAACTGTAGCCGGGTAGGCAACTTTCAGAGGTCTAGGGGCTGTACAAACACACTTTCTCTGGACTCCAGTGACCACAAGGCCTCGCTGGGATTTTGAACAAACAAATAAAAGGCTTCTAATTAGGCAACTCTGAGTGTCTGCATCTGAGGTTGGGAAATTAAAACTTATTTTCAAGCTGACAGAAGTGGTCAGATGTGGCAAACAGGATCCAGAGGCGGGTGTGGGTAGTTTTAATATTCACTTTCTCAGTCTTCTAGCCTAAGGAGCACCTCAATATTTCACATTGTCTCCTATGTATTTTAAAACCTAAATACATCTGGTGGGGGAAGGAATATAGACATTTGGGCTGAAGTGTCCAGATGACACTTAGCTCTACCTTTTATTTCTGTTCACTTATTCCAGGGAGAATTCTTGAACCAATATCTGGATGAAAGTGAAGAAACCAAGCTCTAACACAGACAAGATGCAGGTACTGTGAGTAAGGTTATTATTGTGGATGAAATTTTAGAATTAGTGTTAGATAATGTCCTTTGCAACTCCTTTTGTCTGCATGATACCATCTGTAAGTTTAACAAACTGACAAAATGAAACTAAACTTTAAACATTTTCTTGCTGTTCTAGTTTACAGCTGCAGATATCAGGGGTAGAAGGTATTTACATAACAACATGGAGCAGAATCAGCAGACTGTGCCTAACTTTGATTTAATGGTGTGTGTTTGTGTAGGAGTAGAAACCTTTTAACCATATCATTTCATAGACTAATCGGTTTCAATTTATGGTGCCATGCCTTTTTCAATGTACCTTCTGGGCACAGGATTAAACGGTACTCCTTTGTCAAATAATACATAAGGATGTCTTCAGGCCAATCTAGATGATAAATGATCCAGAATATCTTTACAGCACTGCATGTTATCAACTCTGTACTTGCACTAATAGGTACAATATCCTGCCTTCATGCAGTTTCTACATGGAGTGAGGGGAGGTGGGAATGGGGAACAACAGCTGTAGCACAGGGCCAGTGAGGGCATTCAGCTTCCTTTAAGTTCATTTCATACTTCGTCTTCCTCTTTTCCCAGTATTGTTGTCTTTTCCCGAGAATCTTGCATTTTCATGATGTGCCCAAAGTAGGACAGCCTCAGTTTCAACATGTTTGCTTCTAGTTCAGGCTTGATTTGATATTATACGTATTGTGTTCTTCTACCTACTTCAAGAACGTGTGATCTTGGAACTATTTGTTGGTCCTTCTGACAGTTCAGAGTATCCTCAAATCTCTCCTCCAGCATCACATTTCAAACAAATCATTTTTTTCCTGTTAGCTTGATAAGGGAGATTATATACAGTACTACTATATTGGGGAGGGGAAACACTTATCACTGAGTACCTCTTCTTTCATACTTTCATATATATGTACAAAATACAGTATACCGTATTTTCCGTTTACAAGACAATCCAAAGACAACTCCCCCCTTTTCTAACACCCAAATTAGAAAATTTGAGGGCCCCTTTGATCCTCCCGGCCTTTCCCGGCTGCCTTTCCTGCTTTCTAAGCCCTGCAGAGCTTAGGAAATGGGCTGCTTCAGAATCAAAGGGGTGCAAGTATGCTGCCCTTTCATGGCTGCATTACTCTGTAGCTTCGCAAAAGGCAGGAAAATTGGCTGCCTGCCCTGTATAAAACAACCCTCAATTTTTGGTCCAATTATTTAAGTAAAAAGTCTCATCTTGTTCAAAGAAAAATACAGTACATACTATGGGAAAGATAATATTACTGGTTATTGCCACTTCATAATTTAGTTTTCTAGGAAAACAGGAGTTAGAAAGAGGATGCTCAGGCTTTAAAGAGGTAACAATGAACAATAATGGCATGAACCATCCAAAATTAAGCATCTTCTTTCAAATCAAAAGTAAGATGAATTCTCATTTCTGAAATTAGTAGAACTTTATTTAACTTTATCCTCTAACAATAAAAATCCAGAAAATCTTATGCTGTAGATTAGAAAAAGCATCACTCATGTCACATCCACTGGGGAACATGCTTTTGCACAGAAAATGTCTACTTGAGAAAAACCTGCATTTGTTGCCTGATTGGCTGGAAAGTCCTTTAATTTGTGGAATTATGTCACTGGGCAAGGAGCTTCCTCTTTGTATTGCCCTTGCACCAGCATCACTCAAAAGCCATTAAATCTAATCCACCTGGTTTGTTTCAAATGCCTTCAGGAATGCTGCCGCCAGCAGCAGGTTACAGCAGGATGGATGTGCTTGCATTTCTGTGCTCCCAGCTCATTTACAGGAGGCTGCAGTGAGATCTGCTGCAAAGACAATGGCTGGGGGATTGTTTTGTAATTGGAAACCCTGTGAGATGCAGATCAGAAAGATATGGAAGTACCTGAAGGCACCTTCTTTTCTGTGTCTATTTTCTATTCTCTCAAACTCTTCAGATGCCAGAACCATCCCACTGTCTGTCTGATTGTCCTGCACAGAAAGAGAAGCAAGAAGTATTGGCAGTGCCTGAGGATTGGGGAGAAATTCATTTGGATCACATTTTAATAAAGGAAACTAAATCTGCACGTCCTGAATGAATACACACATCCAGTTTTCTCACTTCTCCAATTTTTTTCCTGATGTAGCTATCTCATCAAGAACTGTGTACAAAAATGCATACGTTAGGGGAAATTGCTTAGAAAAAGTAATATGTTTTTGCAAAATGTACAGTATATAATAGGGGGAAAGTAAACACAGGGTTTTAAAAATCCTTGCAAACTGATATAGAAGTGGGATGCAGTAAACATAGTACTTGGGGAAAAATTGAATTTTATAGAAAGGCAAAAGAAATTCATGTACCAAGACAAGTATTATCCTTGTTATGTACACATTTTGAAACTATTTCATCAGGAAGCATCCCTTTGATGAACATAAGGCAGTGCTGCAGATGAAAACATCTGAGGTGCTGCTGGGTTCCTTCCTTCTGCTGGCAACGACAGTGCATCAGAAGCATCAACCCCATGTGCCAACTTCCCCATTTAAATTGTACTTCCTACCAGGATGCTGGTATAACTTTCCTTCAAACGCCATCCTCTTTAGTACAATTGCTGCAGCAGTAGTGGCATGAGGGAAACTGAGTGGTTCGGACTATTGCCCGTGCGTTCATGGAAGACCTTCAACAAGACACATGTAACCCACAGGTTGTGGTTTGCCCATGTGTGGCTTACAATATTTCTCCACATCTATCTCTCACTATGGAAAGACAGAAGTTTGCTTTTACTTCTCTTTATAAAGGAAGCCCCTTTCATGTACTGTTTTTTGTTGCAGACTATTCTTGACTTTTGACAAAGTGGAAGGAACAGAGAGGAACCAATTAAAGCATCTTTATTAAGGAGGTCTATCTACTGTCATGCTCCATACAAACAGTCTTGAAGGATTCTGAGCATCTCCCACCCATCCTGTGCCTGAGGATGGAGGTGAACCAACTGCTCCTGCAGAATGACAACCCTCAAGGTGGCAAAAGGCTACATCCCTCGACAGAAGCAGTACAGGTCCAGAATCGGATAAGGAGGAGGAATGTCCTTCTAGGCCACAGAAGTGGTGCAGTACAAAGGAACAGGATTGGCAGACTGGGCTCCAGAGGAAGTCTTGTTTAGTTAAGGGGATGAGGGGAGTGCATCTAGGAAACACCTGTTTTCCTCAGGAACAGTGTTCAAGTGTTAGCAGCTGAGTCCTGGATGAGGCCCCATCAGCCAGCAACGTAAGCCTCAATGCTGGGACAGCAAGCCTGTAAATGCTAGCCCCATGCTTTAAATCTTGCCTGTAAGGTAAAGGTTCCCCTTGACATTTTAGTCAGTCGTGTACGACTCTAGGGGGCGGTGCTCATCCCCGTTTCCAAGCCGTAGAGTCAGCGTTTGTCCGAAGATAGTTTCCGTGGTCACGTGGCCAGCGCGACTTAGATTCGGAATGCTGTTTACCTTCCCATCGAGATGGTACCTATTTATCTACTCGCATTTACATGCTTTCGAACCGCTAGGTTGGCGGGAGCTGGGGCAAAGCGACGGGAGCTCACTCCGTCGTGTGGATTCAATCTTACAACTGCTGGTCTTCTGACCCTGCAGCACACAAAGGCTTCTGCGGTTTAGCCGGCAGCGCCACCACGTCCCTAAATCTTGCCTGTACTTTTTGCTTTTTATGGTTTATCGACAAGTGCCTGATTCTAGGCTGTGTTTAATTTCATCTTATAGAATATTTCTGTCTGTCTCTGCTGTTCTGAGATCAGTTAGTTCCTGGGCTTGACTTTGGCCTTAGATCTCCTGCCCCAGTTCACCTAATCCACTCACAGGGGTCTCTTTGTCTGACTCCTGCTTTGCCTTCTGCCTCTTCTTCTTGGCTCCTCTTGGCTGGTTGTCTATCTGCTGTGTAAGCTTTGACAGGCACTGGCTGCTAAAGACCATGTCCCTACATGGAAACAAGGCACCTTCCAATGATAAGAATAATTCTCATATCAACCTGCCACATATACAGGCAACTTGTCCTGTTATCTGGAATTGTTGGTATTGACACACACTGTTGATGTATTTTATATCAGGTACACTCCAAATCAGTGCTGACTGTGGTATCCCTGCAATCCGATGCAGATGCCAAGAACCAGAAATACTTAGATTAGTTCCATATTCCTCCAGACATCCAGAAAAATCAAAAGATGGTATCAGGGAAGACAGGTGCACATTTCTGCCTAGAAATATGAAGCCAGCCATCAGCCATGACAAAAACAAAGGTGGCGGCATAGTAGTCCCTTATTCTGTGGGCTGTGGAATTGCCTGGTGTGGTTTTTTGCAAAACCAACCAACCAAAAATCCCTACACATTTCTCATATTGGAGAAAAGCTTTGAAAGCAACAAACCCAGAAGACATTAGTGTCGTCCAGTTTTTACCTGCTTGAATATAACCAATATATTCCATATTTAATAAATTCCCTCCTGTCACATGTCTGCCTCCATATGTGGACTCTATATCACAGTGTTATCAATGTATATGAGTGTGGCAGAAAGTGGAGTTCAGGTATGCATATTTTAATCAGCAGGATAAACTTTAGACTACATTGGCCTGCAGGAATGCTTGATAGTTGAGTTCACAAGGGTCCCCCCCCCCCAAAAAAGCTTAGAAGTAAAGTTTTAGATGTAATTAACATTAAAGTAGTTACTTTTGCAATAAAAAGAGCAATGTATATATTCTTAAGAAAAAGTTTTAGAAATAACTTTAAAATTGTTACTTTTTAAGCGTTATTTTTCATATGCCTCAATTGGCTTCTCCTGTTCAAATCACAAGTAATGATTTAACATTAACACATTGAATTAACAGGTTCTTTCCATTTTTTTAAAAAAACCCTTTCTTCTAATTGCTCTATCATCTTAATTTACTCACCGGATGTGTTTTATACATGGTTTGGGTCATAGGAAATTCTTCAAAAGTCTTTATTCTTGATGGACACCTTATCTGATTCCCGCCAGTCAAACAACCAGGAAAAGACACACAGTTGTAATATCTGGGAGATAAAATAAAAGTAACTAGTAAATTTATATACATATATAGGTATGTATACACACACACACACACACACACACACTTTACTATGTATGTATGTATGTATGTATGTATGTATGTATGTATGTATGTATGTATGTATGTATGTATGTATGAAAGAATAAACAATAAGCAAATTCTTCAAGATGGCAAAGATAACAAAGAACAGATAAAGAGAAAAAGATTAGACGTTGTTTGGAGGGAACTCTTCATTATATGATACATTTGATGTTTGGAAGAATATATATGGCTCTTCCAAAAAGCATCCTTCAAAAATTGATTGGCTCTATGACAGCTTCTTTCTTCTTTCCTGTTTTCCAGAAATCATCAGTAATGTCTTACCTTGCTGCTATGTTGTGACAGTGTATCCTCATGTCAAATTCCTCTTCATCAGAGTTCTGCTGGATAGAGGAAGCAACCTGGGAGAAGCCATCATCTTCTGAGCTTTGAGAGTCATTCAGTGGGATGTAATCCTTCCCCTCCTGATGGGGAGAGAAATAATTGTTATGAGAAAGAAGAATTAGAGGGCTTTACAAGTAGGGAACAGCAACAATGGGTGTGACTATAAATTTTCTATGTTCCCTTTTCTCCGGAGGGGATGGGGGAGACAGTAAAACAAAATGACTATCTTAACCTGCTACTTTTCCTTTGCCAGAACCAGAAGGTCCAGGTATTCTATTTTTTGTAGATTTTAACATGTACGTTATATGTGGTTGTGCAGAAAAACACCTGCAAGAAGTAACATGTAAATGAATTTCACCAGGAAGGCAAGTAAATCCTATTCTCTTAGAAAGTGACACAACAACTTAACATTCCCACCACCTAATTAGCTCAGGAAAGATATGAAAGGCAACCCCTCCCTGCAGTGGTGGGATTCAAATAAATTAACAACAGGTTCTATGTCCTAATGACCATACAATGAATGAATGAATGAATGAATGAATGAATGAATGAATGAATGAATGAATGAATGAATGCAGTGGGATCTGATGAGGGTTTCTTCCACAGTGGTCTCCCTACTGCCTATCATCACAACTACGTCTCGCATGATTAAGACATCTGGATAAGTGTATCAGTTTGGGCATACCGCTGCTGTTACACTCACTGTGGGCATGTGCCAAAAAATCACACACAAACACACACCTCAACTATGGGTGCTTATGACCAAGTTTGACAGAGAACTGACACATCTCTCCTTCCATTTACCTCCTATTTCGCCCTATAGCTCACCTGTAAAAATTGCTTCCCTCCCATTTCCTGCTCCTGAAATGACTGATATCCCTGTTTGTTGCTACCTGGAGGCCGCCTTTGCACACCTGTTGTGGAGTTATTCTCCCCCCCTCCCTTCTGGCTTGGAAGGTATGGTCTCTTTTCAGTCTGTCACCACTCCACCTCAACCCCACCACCTCAATCGGTCCTTCAGTTACTGACTCCTCTGAGGTCTCCTCCTCCACCATCTTTCCCCTCCACCCCGCGCCCACCGCTTCTCATTGCCATTCACTTTGAGGGGTGTTGGTGTTGGTGGCGGCACTGGTGGTGATGATGGTTTCCCTCAGAGCCCTGGCGGGCTCCCCCTCCCCCACTCATGCCTTGTCAATCATCCTCCCCCTCTGCCTCTAGGCCACAGGTTTTCCTCCAGTGATGTCAAGGACTCATCCTCCCCCCCTTACCCCAGTGATGCCTCTGCTCTTTCCAGGGCTTTATCTCTCTCACCCACACCTCACCTCCAACGGCTCAGTGTGGCACGGGAAGGGAGGCAGCTAATTGCACCCCCTCCCCCTGCTCGTCGCTGGTCACCTGGCCCCTCCTCCTTCATTCATCTCAGGCCAGCAAAAGGTTCTACAAACCAATAGTACATTTAGGAATCTGTTCTATAGAACTGGTGCGAACTGGCTGAATCCCACCTCTGCCTCCCTGTCCTTCATTCCATTAATTGCTTGCAAGCTAGATTTACTCTATGTCATCTGGGCCTCCAGATGTTCTTGGACTACAACTCCCAGAAGCCTTCACCACCACCTCTGCTCTATGTCGTTTCATATAACATACTCTGTGTACTATTTGGGTTTCAGAATATACAGAACATTTATTATTTATTTAAAATATTTTTATCCCACCTTTCTACTTAAAAAAATAATAAGCAAGGACATATATTTTATTAGGACAAATGCTCATTTTTCAAGCTTGGGGGCACTGTTCTTCAAGCACTATGACAGATGAGCTAAGACAAAATGGGAGGGGAATACAGAAAGAAAATAGCTTTATATAAGTCAATACTATTTGGCCCGGTACAGGAAGATTTTCCTTTTGATGCTGAAGAAGAAGAAGATCTTGACAGGACTCAAGGCTTAAAGAAAGAATGAAGCAAATTTTCTGATATGAGCTGATACAAACCAGTATACTCCAGTGACATGAGCAGACCTGTGTCTGACTGTACAGCAGAAACACTAGACCACTGCAGATCCAAACAACTCAACTCAACAATTCAACAAATAAATAATTTTCCAGACAAGGATACTATCACAGTTGGCTGCCATATTGTGATACTAAACAGAAACTTACATGCTGGACATTTTCCTGGAGAAGATCTCCAAGGATTTCCACCAAGTCAGAAAATGTTGGTCTCTCTTTGGGATCACCATGCCAACAACTCAGCATTATACGGTAACTGCAAAAACAACAACACAAGCTTTGCACAAAGCTTATCAACTTCCTCATCCCATGTCAATCACATGCAGAGCTGCTGAGACAAAAATTGCACCCCTCTGCAAAGGAAAAAACCCAGCCTTCAATTGCATGCTGTATTTGAGAAGTACAGGTTGCTTACCTGTAACTGTGGTTCTCTGAGTGGTCATCTGTGAATTCACACAATTGCACGTGTGTGTGAACCCAATCAGAACGTTCCAGAATTGCACTGAAGAAGCTAAAAGCTTTTCTCCACCCCCATTACAATAAGTTGTAATGACACCTCTGGCTTCTCAGTCCCCCTCTATCCGTCACCCAAAAGACAAGAAAGAAGGCATGGGAGACAGGGGAGTGGAAGGGAGGGTCGTGTAAATTCACAGATGACCACTTGAAGAACCACAGTTACAGGCAAGCAACCTGTTCTGCTTCTTTGTGGTCTTTGTGAATCAACAATTGGTTGACTTACAAGCTTCAATGTTGGAGGAGAGCTGACATGCTGGAAAGGAAGGCCAGCGTAGCACAGCTTGGTCAAGGGAGGCATCATTTCTTCTTCCTAGGTCCAGTCAATAGTGTATGATGAAACTGGATAATTGGGACTAAGTGGCTGCTTTGGAGATATCTTGGATCTGAACACCTTTAAAGGAGGCTGTTGATGTACTAGCTGATTGGCTCCTGACTGCAAATGGTAAGAGGACCTTTGCCATATAATATGCCAACTTGATCACTTGGACAAGGATTGCATCGAAACTACTTGGCCTTTTTTTAAGGCTATGCTAAGAGATGAAAAGTTTGACTAATCTCAGACACCATCCGCTTGGACAAGGATTGCATGGAAACTACTTGGCCTTTTTTTAAGGCTGTGCTAAGAGATGAAAAGTTTGACTAATCTCCTGCTTAATTCTGGAAAGGTAGAAGGCAAGTGATCATTTAATGTCAAGAGTTCTTTCTGATGATGACTGAGGTGAAGGAAAACATTCCAGAACAATGAGTTGATTAGAATGAAAAGTTAATGCAACCTTAGGGTGGAAAAACTACATCTAACTACTGTTTCTTTAAAGGAAGAAGAAATCTAAGGATGGAGTTCCAGTGGTTGAACATGAGCCTGAACGCAGTCTGTGAACTGCAAAAACCTTTTCCATTTGTAAGCATAGGAATGCTTAGTGGATGGTTTTCTGGAGGGTTTTACAATCACCTCTAAGAAAAATAAATCCACCATGCTGTCAGTTTTAACTTGTCTATGTCCAGGTGTTGAGCTCAACACTTGTGAAGTTTTCTACATTGGGAGTATAAAACTGTCAGATGACATCAGCCACAGAGTTGTGACCCAGGGTTGCAGAGGCCACCACAGGGTTAGAAGAATCACATCAGTCTCGTCCCAAGTGATCTTCACAATGACCTGATGAATGAGTGAAAACGGGAAATAAATACAGCAGACTCCCATTTAACATCTTGGTAAATGCCAAGATTCACTATGGAGTGAATTCTTTTTCCAGTTGTGGAGCAACAACAATGGCATTTTCAATTGATCCCTGAAGTGAACATGTTTGTGTGAGGCATTCCCTACCTGTGAGTTATCATGTTGAAAACTTCTGGAGCTAGGTCTCATTCATGAGACTAAGACCTTTTTTTTGCTTAGATAGTCTTCTTCCTGATTTCGTGTTTGTGTGAGGCATTCCCACCTGTGAGTTTTCATGTTGAAAACTTCTGGAGCTTGGTCTCATTCATGAGACTAAGACCTTTTTTTGCTTAGATAGTCTTCTTCCTGATTGTCTTATCCTGCTGTGTGGATTGCTACAGGATACATATGTCTGCATATGAACCAATCCTACAGGAGACATGCAAGATGGAGAAAAGCTATTGAATAAATCTCTGCCCCCCCAACTTGTTTATGTAAAAGAGGGCAGAGCCTCTCACCAGGAGCTCAAAAGCTTTTTCAAGGCTTTGAAAATGGCTAGGTGTTTGAGATAATTGAAGTGATTCTTCTCTTGAGGAGACCACTTTGCATGAATGGAGGTATTTTGCACAGGGCTCCCCAGTCTAAATTGCTGACATCTATGGTGAGTAGAATCTACATTTGCAGCTGTTTGAATGGAATTCCCATAGATAGATTGGGTGGATACTCCCACCACCATATTTGCAAAATAGGAAGTATGAATCTCTTGAGAGCACCGTTTCTGCTGATGATCAAGCCTGCAAAGGTTTCATTCTTAAATGGGAATGTCCAAGCACCACTGAGGCCATAAGTCCCAGAACATTTACAACAAGATGTGGTGGTACAAAGGGACAACTGATCACTTCCTGTGTTGTGAGAATTAATGTCAATATCCTTTAGTGTGGCAGAAAAGCTTTCACCACCACTGGATTTAAAATAGTGCCTATTTATTTTATTTCTCTGGTGGGAACCAGGGATGACTTTTGCAAGTTCACATGGAGAGTGGATCAGGCAACAGACTGAGTATAAAGGTGATGTTTCTTTCCAAAGTGACACATGACACTAGGAGCCAGTTGTCTGTACGTATAGGGGAAGATGGCATTTCCCCTGACTCTGAGATATGCTGCAAATGGAGTCTCACATTTTGTTAAAACACATGGGGCTCTAGACAGATCAAAGGGAAGGGCCTTAAATTTGAAATCTCATTTCCTAAAAGGCAGCAAAGAAAATGATGGGGATCTTGTTGGATGGTTATATGAAAATAAGCATCCTTCGAACCTACTACAGCTAACCAGTTTTGTTTTCTTAGCAAATGAAGGATCAAAGAAAGGATCCCCATATGGAATGTCTTTGCTACTATGTACTTGCTGACTGCACAAAGATCAAAAATAGGATGCAGCCATCTGTCCCTTTTGAAGACTGTGAAGTACCTTGAATAATAATCACCCTGAATTCTTGCTAATGGGATCAGATTAATAACATCCTATTGTAGCAAAGTTAATGTCTTCTCTTGCAAAACCTGAAATGGTCTTGTTCTGTCATTTCTGCCAGTGGGTGGAATTTCAGCAAACTCTATAGCATAGCTCTGGGAGATAAGAGAGATAATAGAGAGAACCCAAGAATTATTTGTAACTTTGCACTAATTTATGATAAATTGTGTAAGATTTCCATTGTTGGAGAAAGAAAAATGGTACTGTGAAATTGTAGTTGGGTGGCCTCAGTTACAGGTGAGTCAAAAACACTATTCCATTTCCCTGTCTGATTTCTTTGAGGTAGATATAGATTTGGCCTTGTTATACTTTGATACATAATGGTAAGTTTGAGGAGTAGAACTGTTTGATATCCTAGACTGTTCCTAATGTCCCCAAGATGGCCTAGATTGTCTTTGGTTTTATTGGTAATTTTGAGTAGAGACATGCACTTTACCATTATCTTATAAAGGAGGATAAATAATGAAAAACTGGAAAAACTAAAGGAGAAAAGGAAAGTACCAGAAAGAAAGGTTAAGTAAAAAGGAGCAGGTAAAAATTTATGGTCCAGAACACTCCCTCTGAGCTGTTGTTTGTATGGTGAGAGACTGAGGAGAAGCTGTAAAAGCATGTGCACAGCATAAAGGGGTGGAGAAAAGCTTTTAGCTTTGATTGTGTGATCCTGGAACATTCTGATCTGGCTTTCATGCATGCTCAAAACCTACTTGTGTGATTCACAGAGACCACAAAGAAGAACCAGCAGAGTCACTAGAGAAGGAGATGAGAAAATTTTGACTAGATGCTATCTCATGTCTCCTATACACTCTCACGAGAGAGGGAAACAAATTATTAGGGCTTCAGAAATTCTTGTGGATCTGTATTTGACTGTTATTTTAGCATTTTAATCACTTGCAGTGTTTTCAAATACTTTTGACTCACATTTCAGCAGTGGCATATTCTGGAGCTCTCATCCTGGTGCCATCCTTCAGTCTCTGGCAAAATTCCTCATTGATTTGGACTCCAGGGTATGGCGAGGCACCTGAAGAAGATAATACATAAATGGTCAGGCAATGGTGTGTTAGGAATGTGTATAAACAAAGAAATTGGTGCACTTTCAGGAATACTCCCGTCTGCACTGTTACATAGGAAAGCTCACACTGATGGTTTGTGTGCGTGCATGCATGCATGTGTGTGTGAGTGATCCTATTTCTTGGCCATTATTTTGTATGCAAAAGAACATAAGTTGCTGAAATAGCCTACTTAGAAAGACCCAGAACTTGGAAGTAACTTGGAAGTAACTTGTTATATTTCTTGCAATAACTGAGGCATATTATAAGTGCCACCAAACAAAAATTCACTCTTTCTGGGATGTAACTAATTGTTTAAGGCCAGAATCCTATTGGTCAGTTACACCAGTGTAAGTGCAGTGCCATAAATTGCAGAGTCAGCTTGCCACTGGATAATGAACAGCTGGTTGAGACTGGTGCATAAAGAAGGATACAAGTGATTTGTTAACTAGTGGCAATTTGCTACTGCAGTTAATACCACTGCTCTCATACTGACTTAACTAACCAATGGGCCAAATTCTGACCAAAGTTGTTTTTAGAGTTAGGGAGGGTATAATCTACTAAACAATGGGGAAAGGCTAAAACATTGTTCAAATGCTGGTGTGTGTTGTGCCCCATGCTACTGCTTCGGGCTCAACTGCAGGTGCTGAGCTGACAACAAGATGAATGAGAGGAGAGTGTATTCTGCACCACAGGCCAGTGGCTGGCCACATTCTGGGTTTTGTTTGTTTGTTTTTTGTTTTAAGGAAGTAAACAGAAAGAGAGGTTACTTACCTGTAACTCTGGTTCTTCGAGTGGTCATCTGTAAATTAACACTAATGGGTTTAATCTGCGCTTGTACAGAGGTCTTTGGAATATTCTAGAGCTTTATGATACGTTGGTCAAGGACCGCCCCCTAGCCCACATGGTCCGCCCGTTCTGGTGATTACCTCAGTTCGGAAGAATAGCCCACCGCTGCATCAGAGTGATACAGAAGTGACAGACAGAGAGGAGAATGGGCAGGAAGTGTGAATTCACAGATGACCACTCAGAGAACCAGAGTTACAGGTAAGTAACCTCTCTTCTTCGTGGTCTCTATAAATGCACACTAATAGGTGATTAACAAGCTGACTTACCGGAGGTGGGATGTCACGGAAGAACAGAAGAAAGTACAGCTCTCCCAAATGCTGCATCCTCTCAGATGATAATGGGTGGCAAATGTAGACAGCATCACCCATGTAGCATCCTTACAAATGTCTGGGAGTGGTACTCCATGAAGAAAGGCCACAGAGGTGGCCAGAGCTCTAATAGAATGAGCCTTAATACCAACAGGTAGAGGCTGTTTGGCGAGTTGGTACGCCAGTTTTGTAGTTGCAATGTGCCAACAGGATACAGAGACGAAATATGAGAACCTCTGTGAGGGAGGTGTCATTTTGATTTGCAGAAGGAAGAAGTCCATGAGATACAGAAAGCAAGTGCACGTCTAACATCGAACGTGTGTAAAGACCGCTCTAGGTCAGTTGTCGGTGACTGAAAAAAGGTAGGTAAAACAATAGGTTGGTAGAAGTGGAAATCTCGCCAAACAACCTTTGATAGAAAGGAGACATCAGGGAAAAGGGTGACCTTGTCCGGGTGAAATTGAAGAAATGGAGGATCAACCTGGAGGGCAGCAAGTTCTGAGGCTCTATGAGCGGAAGTAATGGCAACCAGGAAGAATGTCTTAAGGGAAAGGAGGTGCTCTGAGACGGTAGAAAGTGGCTCAAACAGAGCACAGGTAAGCCAGTGAAGAACAACAGATAGAGACCATTGTGGGGATGGTGCAGGTGCAGAAGGATGCATATCGGAGACACCCTGAAGGAAGAGTTTTTGTGTGGGATGATGAAAAAGCATAGCAACATTGGAATCTTGAGGTTGATGATCTATTATAGCAGACAGGTAAACCTTGAGAGTAGAAAGGGAGAGTTGCTTGTGAAAGAGATGGGAGATAAACTGAAGGACTGCTTGCAGGGTCATAGGATTGGTTGGAAGATGATGTTGAAGAGCAAACCTTGTGAAGACAGTCCATTTATACGAATAGAGCTTAACAGTGGCAGGCTTTCAAGCGTTAGCTAAGATGGCATCTACCGAGGGTGAATCCTCCACACAGTGAGATGGAGAGTGTGAGGGGGACCTTGTTGGAGCATGAGGTGCACCTTTTAAATGGGGGAAGAGGGGCCATAAATGGCGGAGAAGGGGGAAAGCGGTGGTGGTAAGGAATTATGTCAAAAAGTCTCTTACAATTTCCCTTGATTATATATTTTTCTCAGATATCAAGTTGAAAGAAGCAATGGCGAATGGAGCTTAACGAGAGGAGAGACCTCAGAGGTGGCAAAAAGGAACTGAGGTAATTACCAGGACGGGCGGACCACATGGGCTAGAGGGTGGTCCTTGACAAACATCTCATAAAGCTCTAGAATATTCTGTAGACCTCTGTGCAAGCGCAGATTAAACCCATTGGTGTGTATTCACAGAGACCACGAAAAAGAACAACCATTTAACTCACTTTTAAAAAACTGGTAGATGAAGAGTTATTTTTTTAAAAAAAACTGTAAATATAACAACAACTAACTACTATCTCCAAAATAATAACTTTAATTACTGGTGTTCCAGCAGGTATTCAGTAACCACTTAAATTCAGGCCTTCAAGTTAACTTCTGTGAAGCCACTGCCATGTGCTTTAAGTAAAAGGCTAAATTTCTGGACCAGAATCCAACTGGAGAAAGCCTAAATGTGGAAGGGCAACTATGCATTAGTTTTCCCCATCTTGCAGGCTACTCTTGAGGTATGTGAAGGGGAGCCTGCTAGGCAGGGAAACTGCTTAAGTGACCTTATGTGACCGGTGGAGAGTCCAATCACTTGGTACTCACCTAAAGAGAAGATCTCCCACAAGAGGACCCCAAAGGACCAGACATCACTTTGGGTGGTGTAGACTTTGTCGAAGATGCTTTCTGGAGCCATCCACTTTAGGGGGAGGCGGGCCTATGAGACAGAAATAGATGTGTGTGGTTGTTACAACCAGAAAAAAAGAATCTAATAGCGTCTATAAAAGAAAAGCCGCAGGAAATTTTCCAATCATCCTGTAGTGCCTGACACAGAAAGGCTAAACATTAGATGAGCAAGAAATATCTATTTAGGATCAGCACAGGAAGCTGCAATTTGGCATTATGTGCCTACCTACATACTTGGCCTCATTCAATCACTAACTCAAGGGTGCTATCAGAACTATTTTCACAACAGACAGAAAACTGAAATTTGGCAAAAACATAGTATTAAAAAGCTTAGACTATCAAGGCATATCTGAAAATAGTTTATTGGAATACAGTAGTTTGTTGTTGGAATTACAGCCACTTCCAGTTTAAAACAGATTTTAAGTCAACTTCATGATTTTGGCTTTGTGCAAAGCAGTTTTGAAGAACAGAAACAGAACAAAACTCACAATCATGTGTGCCACGTTATATGTATACCAAGGGTTGCAAAGGAAAATTGTGAGCCAATTCAGGCTTTAACGTCTGTTGTGGGTTGCGACTAAGTGGTGCTAAAAATCAAATGTCTGAGAAATGCATGATGATTATTTCACATGCGAGGTTAAGTCTGGTAGCTGTACGGCACAGGGGGAAATGCTGAAGGGTATTGCATATAAATATTGGGGTAAACTGTTGGCTAGCCAAATGTAGTTGAACTGCAGTTTCTGTAAGTCCCTGTCAGCACAGTCAGTGGTCAAGGATGATAGAAGTTAATACTGTAGTTCAAAAACATCTGTAGCGGCACAGGTTCCCCACCCCTCTCCATCTCTCACATCCAACCAAATGTGCATTTTGTGCCAAGGTAGTGCCTCAAATAAGACCTCTTAAATGTTTTATTTCTCCCTTTAATTTCTGTATCTACACTGAAAACGGACTACAAACATTCCCTCTGCATTGTAATGACTAGTCCCCCAAAATAAATGATACTGGGGGCCAGTGGCTGTTCACAGACTTTGAAAACCCATTCCAGTTCACCTCAGCCATCCCAGAACTCACACTGCCCTTCCTGACATAGTCAGGGTCCTTGTAGATATCTCGGGCCAGGCCAAAGTCACAAATCTTCACCACATTGTTTTCTGACAGTAAGATGTTGCGAGCTGCCAAGTCTCTGTGGATGCACTAAAGGAAAATGAGACAAGAGTGGTGGAGGAGGGGAAGAGATTTTTTTTAAAAAAGTAATCAAAATTGATTACAGCATAGAAAGGACAGAAAAAGCTTAGAAGTTTCTTTCAGGCCCTTTTCTCTCAAAGAAAGTAACTGAAGGTAGACCTTGAATACGTATTTCCTGTAGAACAGTGGTTCGCAAACTTGGGTCCCCAGATGTTCTTGGACTACAACTCCCAGAAATCCTGGCCAGCACAACGGGTGATGAAGGCTTCTACGTGTTTTAGGCCAAGAACATCTGGGGAACCAAGGTTGGGAACCAGTGCTGTAGAGTGTTAAGTCAGCTTTCCAATTATCCTCTTGCCTGAGACGTGTAATGTCTACTCCTTAGGGTGCAGCTTAATGGAACTATTGCACACAAGCCATCTTATTTATGTGCTAGACTGCATTACATACACAGTCAGAAAATACAAGAAAGCCCTGCTAGAGAAGACTGAAGGTCTATGTGTTTCAGCGTCCTTTTTCTCAGAGTGGCTAACCAGATGTCTCTAGAAACTACAGGCAGGGCCTGCAACCAGTGGCATCTTACTGTTGCTCCACAGCCATCAAAATTCAGTAGCACAAGCAAGACCTGAAACACAGTATTACAATGAGGAATATTCATGTTCTAGTTTCTAGCCTATTAGGTCCCTTCCTCAGAACATGCTATTCTGCTCCCATCCCTTATTTATATATTTCCCTTCAAACAATCAATCAGAATTCCATGCCAGTGCAGCCAGGGCTTCTCCCATGCCTTCCTAGAGAAAAATCATTCTGAAAATTTTCTCCTAAACATTCTTATACTTCTGCAAAATGTGGCCTTTTCCAAATCTCTCAATATCTCTTTTTTGTGTATGGATAGTACTGGTTTGGCTACACAAGCTGTTTTGGCTACATCCTGTGAGAATGAGTTTGCTATTAATATGCAGGATGCTTCTTTTGGAACCTGGAGATTCTAAATAGCCATTGTGGGCATGGACAGACCCAATCTTCACGAATTTGTTTAATATCTGAGTGCAGAAAGAGAAAAGGCTTGTCAGAAGAAATAAAAGGAGGGCTCACCTTTCTAGAAGCTAGAAACTCCATACCACGGGCAACCTGGAAGCTATAGCAGATCAGGTCCTCCATTGTCAGAGGGCTTTGCCACAAATCATCCACTGTACAAACACATAAGAAAGGAGTTTATTCTCTGAAGGTGAGTGACAAGGGAAAGGGTTATGTTTTCCAGAGAAGAGGCTATACTAATATTCTCTTTTCCCTATAGCCCAAGAATAGCCCAAGAAATTTTAGATTTATAAGCTTAGACTTATTGGCTAAACAATACATCTAAGTAGAGAAAGTGGATTAACTGGTGTCAAAAGTTACAATACATGGCTCAGCTATATTATCTCAAGTTTATGTGAACTCAGTAGGAGCTGAATGCATTTAGATAGGGTGCTGTAGTGTTAGAGAGTGCAGCCAAGACTTGAGAGACCAGCGTTCTAATTCCCCACTCAGCAAGGAAGCTCATAGAGTGCCCATGGGCCAGTCTCTCTTCAACTCTCTCAGCCTGACCTTCCTCACTGGGCTGTTGTGAGCATCAAGTAAGGAGGAAGAGAGGTATGTATGTCATCTTAAGCTCATTGGAAGAAAGAAGGCATATAAATGTAACAAACAAACACAATCTGCTGGATTGCAAATATTGATAATTTTATCAATTATGCTAATAAAAATACTTGCTGAATTCACATTACTCATGGAGTGGAAATTACGTGGCCTGAAGGCAACATGCCATCCTTAAATCATTTTCTACTGACTCTTGATGCACCTATTCTTTTCTGCTCAAGAAGTCTTCCTCCATAGGAGAATTGTGCCTCCAGGGGAGCAATTATTTTAGCCTCCAAGGAGTTAAAATCTTGTGGTTGTTGTGGGTTTTTCGGGCTCTTTGGCCGTGTTCTGAAGGTTGTTCTTCCTAACGTTTTGCCAGTCTCTGTGGCCGGCATCTTTAGAGCACAGCACTCTGTACTCTTCAGTGCTGTCCTCT